GCGAGCCCATCGAGGACAGCACACCGACAAGCAGTGGACGAACAAAGACAAGAACATGCAGATGCTGCTCACCTCGCTGATGACACGCACACTCCAGAACATTCAAAAATACGGATGATCATGTGCACGGTGGCCGACGCATGGACGCTACCAATCAACCACCCGACAGTCTCCCATATCTCGACGGAGCTCGAGGACTTCAAGACACGGGTCAACAACTACCGCACCAGCAAGGACACCGAGGCGCTCAAAATGCTAGGCCCACCGACCCCCGCACTCGCCCTCGCCATGTTGGAGGGGCTATTGACATGCGAAGTGGGAGGTCGAGTTCGCAAAGAGATCGAAGAGTACCTCGAGGAATGCCAGCCAGAGGACCCTCAGCTCGAGCCACTGATCGACGCAGAGACCCTCCAGACCGAAGTCGCCTTCCTGCGCATCGACAAGACACACGACCCGAACGCCGCCAAGCTGATCCTTGGCGCCAAGGACTGGCAGGGCCGATGCCTCTTGCTCGCTGGCCTACGCTCAGAAGGGATCGCGAAGCACCGCCTGGGCCCAGCCCCAGCGGGCTGGCTGGAGGAGGGGATATCGATATGACTGGATCACTTCCGACGAATGACATGATGATTCGATTTGTATCTGGCGGCACACTCCCTGCAGTGAGGCCCATAGTAGCTCCCGAGACTGATCTCACACATCAGACAGGCGACCTCCCTTCAGATAATGCAGATCCTGAGGTACACACCCACGATCTAGCCGCTGATGAGGAGGCTGCTGAATTTTTATTCTCCTGATGTGCCCCAAGAGGTCCTGTCTAAGGCCCCCTCGTCCAGAGCCGCAGCTAGACTCCTATTCACTCTCACTCTTTCCTGCTATCCTCGAGGAGTAGGAGATGAGGAGCACTTCCCTCCCCCTCTTTCGTCACCCGCCATAGCGGGATTTTCTTTTTGCTGCCGCACTACGCACGAACAGTTTGTCTGTAAGTCTTCAGCTCTGGTCAGTGCGAGGTCTCCCCCCAGGGCCGCCTTCAGGGTTTTCCAACGCGCAGCGCATGCCAGCCCGCATCAAGCGTGCTGCACCGTTGTAGCGACAGGCCATGCACAGCAGGCAAGAGGCAGTTCGGCACTGCAGCGATGAGCAAGGAATGTATCTAATCTTTATGCGGGTACGGCGGTACCAGTCAGGGCTTCGGTGTTGCTGGTGTGGTCGCACCCGCCACACGTGGACACTCCCACCTCTGAAACCAGTTTCATCCGTAACCGCTCCCATGTCGTCGTTAAAAAGTAGAGGGTCGTCCTGAGGGGCTTTTCGGCGTCTTCGGTGCCTCGGGGGGGCCTCTGTGGGCCGTTCGGGATCCTCTGTGGGGCCTCCTGGGGGCCTCTCGGGGCCTCTTGGGGCCATCTTGGGGCCTTTGGGGGCCTCCTGGGCGCTTCTTGGGGCCATCTTTGCCCCCTCAGGAGGCCAAAATGGGGCCAAAATCCAAATCAAATCAATGATTGTGGCTTCCTCGCCGAGGCCGTTTTGGACGCTCTGACCGCTCGCGGCCCCCCCCGTCCAGGTCCACGGGGAGGGGGTAGGGGGAGGGGTAAACCCCTCCCCGGGGGGGGAAGAGGGAGGGGTGGAAGAGGAAACGCCCTAAACCACCGACGCCCAGAGGGCTGGTGGGATTCTTGTCAGAACGCACCCCAGGAGAGGTCCGGGGAGCAGCGGTATGGGTACCTGCTGGTTTCCCCAAGAGTGCAGTGGAAGCCCGCCTCCCAGATGCACCACAGGGCACGTCGGAGGGCTGCTCGAGGCGCCCTCGACCTCGCCCTAGGCACGATCGCGTCGTAGCAAGAAGCGCGGCGGGAGGTGTTTGGTAATTTTCTGCCCCTGGGGCCCCTCGCCGGGCCCCGGGACGGTCAAGAAACGCTTCGGGATGAAGAAAAACCGGTCCCGGGGAAAGGGTCGGGACCTCCAGGGACCGCGTGCCGTGGAAACCCATGCCAAGAAACACCTTGCGGGTGCCTCGGTTTTTCCTGATGACTTCGATGGGTCTGCGATGGAAAGCGTAACGCCGCATCGAAAGTCAATGGGCGTCCTGGGGTCTCAGGGTTGGGTTTCTTGTGGAAGGTTCCTTGTGGTCGAGCTCCTAACCTTGTGCCGATGATGCAAAAAGTCCCCCCTTTTCCAGGTTAGAGTTGATTATCCACGGCCAAGAAGAGTTTTGTCAGGGGCGCGGGGAGCGAAGGCCGAACTTGTTTATCACTGAAAAGTTCACCATCGATGTTAACTTCCTTCTCATGTTGAGATATCAACATCAAACAAGCACGTTTTCTCGGGCCTCGCCTCGATCCTCGACTCTGGGATCTCGATCCTCGATCCTCGGACTTCGATTCTCGATCCTCGATCCTCGATCCTCGGCTTTCGGTCATCTTAACTTCATCTCTTTCTCCTCTTACATGCTGGCCTCCGGTAGGCAACATGTATAATCCCCTCGCGACCCCGAACTTGATTATCCCTGTGGGATTAATCTCCGTGGTGTTCGGTTACTGTAGATTGGGTCGGAAAATCGCGGTACATCGCTGATGCATCGGCGATTCGGCTCGAAGCGGAGCCCATGTTTCTAGACGCCGACGTCGGCGATGCATCGCCGATGCAGAGCCGATGCATTGCCGATGCATTGGCGATTCGGCGCGGTCCTCCGACCCATCTGCTCGGGCTCCATGTAGGAGGCCTTTTAGGACAGAGTGCGGGAACGTGCAGCGGCGATGGTTCTCGAGCCACCCAGGACGGGCCAGCTCTTAGTGGGCCCCGGAAGCGGCAGGGCAGTTTTTTTTACCGTTTCCGAAAAAGTGTCTCTTGAGAATGGAAACGGCAACAACAACGGCGACTGGAAACGGCAACAAAAACGGCTCCAGGATTGGAACCGGAGCGGGAACACGTAAAAGAACGGCGACGGAACCGGTAAAAAAACTGCATCGGAACCGGTAACAACAATGGCAAAACGGAACCGGTAAAAAACGGCTTCGTCGTTTCCAGGGCCCCTCAAGGGTCAGCTGGTACCCCAGATCACAATTTCGCCTTGTTCTCGAGGGAGTCGATTGCCAACCACCCTCCACCTCCACCTTCCATACCCCTCCGACCTCCGTGGAGGGTGCGGAGGAGGTCCTCGGCTCTGTTTCGGACGCCTCCTGTGCAGTTCGGGGAGGCCGAGACATGTCATATCTCGAAAGGGGCGGAAGGGTAGGGCGGAGGGTCCGGACGCATGAGGTGGAGGGCAAGGGATTCCCGAAGCGATGCTCGCACTCGTATGGTGGAGACCCATGCCAAGAAGCACCCTGCTTGCCTCCAGGGTGCCTTGGGTTTCTTGGATTTCGATAGTTTTGCTGTGGAAGGCGCGACGTTCCCACACCAAACATCAATGGACGTCCTGGGGTCTCAGGTTGGGTTTCTTGTGGAAGGCCTCTTGTGGACTGGCCTCCACTGCACTAGAACTCGTAGCATTTCTTCATGTTCGGCTTGTCGCGGTCGCTGTCGCACTCCGCAGCCACCCGCGGGGGCCAGCGGCCACCCAGGCACCAGCCGGCGCTGTACGCGGGAGCGACTTCACCAGCCTCGCCTCGGCGGAGGGAGAGGTGTAAGGTACGTGACGGACGAACAACACACATGCACGCACGCACGCGCGCACGCACACACACAGGCACACAGACTCACGTTCCCGCACGAAAAATCGATGGACGTCTTGGGGTCTCAGGGTTGGGTTTCTTGTGGAAGGGCTATTGTGGTCGAGCCCCTAGGAGACTTTTTTTGGGGGGTCTGGTGATAACCCGGGTTATCGTCGGGCTCGCCCCCCATCCCCCCCCCAAGGATAACCGAACCTTGCCGGTTGTGCAGGTCTGTGGTGGGCGGGCGCGGGCATATGCTGGGCTGCCCACAGCGATAACCCGGGTTAACGCCGATTCGAAAAAAAAGGTTTCTAGTGTCTCAGGCCCAGAGATTGACACCAACATCAATTTCGGCGGTGTGCCTCCGGGAAGACGATCCCGATCTCGGTGATGGTGGTAATATTTTGGCTTCCAAGGTCACCGAAGTATTACCACCAACACCGAAATCTAGGATCATCGTCCCCATGTGGAGGCAACCCCCTGTGCTGGTGTTGGTGCCAATTTCCAGGTCTCCGATAGTTTACGGCGCGCTCCCTTCCGTGTTGTTCTGATGCGGCGGGTGTTCGTGCCCTCCGACGCCTCTCTGGCTGCTCGCGGCCCCCCGCCCCTCCTGATGGGCCCAGTTGTCCACCACCACTGCCACAAGTTGGCGAGGGAGGAGGAGGCGGAGCAGGAGGAGGAGGAGGAGGAGGAGGAGGAGGAGAAGGAGGAGATGAGGAGGTGGAGGAGGAGGAGGAGGAGGAGGAGGAGATGAGATGATGATGATGATGATGATGATGATGATGATGATGATGATGATGATGATGATGATGATGATGAGATGATGATGATGATGATGATGATGATGCTGCTGCTGCTTGCTGCTGCTGATGATGATGATGATGATGGATGTGATGATGGTGCTGCTGCTGCTGCTGCTGCTGCTGGTGGTGGTGGTGGTGGTGGTGGTGGTGTGATGATGATGATGATGATGATGACGACGACGACGATGATGATGATGATGATGATGATGATGATGATGATGATGATGATGATGCTGATGCTGCTGCTGCTGCTGCTGCTGATGATGATGATGATGATGATGATGATGATGATGAGGAGGAGGAGGAGGAGGAGGAGGAGGAGGAGGAGGACCTCCTCGGCCTCCCTTCTCCTCCGTCCTGCATGTGTGGTTGTGGTGGTGGAAAAATCTGCCTACCACCTCGCCGCCAGCCCAAACGGCGAGCATAAATCTGGCGTAGCCCCGCACGCATTCGAATACCCACACTTCTTCCTCGTACTACTCGTATTCCTCCCCGTCCTCCTCCCATTCTGATCGTCGTCGTCCTCCTCCTCCTCCTCGTCCCACCGCAGGTGCCAGGAGATCCTCGACAAGCGGCCCGACCTCGCCTCGCTGGTCTCCCAGTTCGAGGCCGGCCCCGCCCGCCCCTGTCCGCGACGGCGAATGCGTGTCACCCAGGAGGGAACAAAAACACACAGACACAATCAATCGTCGATTCCCCCGAAAATATTGGAAAATATGGGAAGTGGGGGGGAAGACAGAAACCCAGAAAGCATGGAACATATGTGGGGGATCCTGTTGTTTGCGTGTATTTATTGGTGTGCCCCCGGGCCCCTTCAGTTAAGCGTCGACGCGGCGGCGGCCCTGGCGCTGGCGCTGGCGCCTTTCGGGCTGCACGACGCCGGTCCTCGACGAGGGGATCGGCTACAGAATTGCCGTACCCCAAACCCAGAGATCCAACGTATTGAAAAAATCAAGACGGACGTTTTTCGCAGTTTTCGGTCTCTAGGGGCCATCGTCGGGCCTCGGGACCGTAAAACAACGACTCAGGATGACAAACTGGTCCTGGGGAATGGGTCGAGACTTCCGGAGGCCCCGTATTGAAAAAATCACGACATCGGATCTCAGGGAACGTTGGTTTTGTCGTCGAATCTTGTAGAATTAAACGCAGCATGTCCCGCACATCTGCGGGACATCCTGCGCACGTTTCACGGAAGATCAACTTTGACGAAGATCAATTTTGGGGCACACCGCGTTCTGTAGGCGATCCCCTATTCGAAGTCTTGGAATCCGCCGACATCGAGCGATCCGCGCCGTCGGAAAGCCGCCACCGCTCAAGGATCACCGGCCCACGCGGTGTCACAGAATCCACGTCCTGTTTGTCACGACGCGAGCCTGCCGCAGAACCCCCCGCGCTCCTCGGATGCCACCGCACTTTCGCCTGGCAGCCCGAGGAAGGGGTGGAGGGGTGGGGGCGGCCGCGCGCGCAGGGGGAGGGGAGGTGAGGGGAGGGAGGAAGGGAGGGAGGCAGGAGGAGGAGGATGCAGGAGGTGGAGGAGGAGGAGGAGGAGGAGGGGGAGGAAGAGGGGGAGGGGGGGCAGGGAGGCGGAGGGTGGATGGGGAGGGAGAGAGGGGGGGAGAGGGGAGGGGAGGGGAGGGGGAGCCGTGGTCCCGAATCCCGAAGCCACCCCCCACCCCTGCCTGTCGTTGCGACTCTTTACTCACACTCGTTTCTTCCGAAGCGATGGCATGTGCTACTGTCAAAGCGCCGCGGAGGAAGGATGGGCAACCTTCCCATGGGTACCCCTGTATCCTTCCCTCCTCGGTCCATCCTTCGCCCTTTTCGCTGGCCGCGCCCCGCTGGAAGAGCTTCGAAACGGCCTCCCAGGGCCCTTGCCTCCTTATCGTGCGTCCTTATGATGCGGGTTGACTGTACTCACATGCAGACTGGTATCAATGCGCATACGGATAAGACCGTGGGAGCTCTACGAACTGAATTGAGCGCAGAAAACGGTGCGGTCACCAACATACAGAAGCTTGAGGCCATCGCTTCAGGGTCTAAATCCACTCTCGTCCCGACGCTTTTTCGAGTCACGTGGGCTCTGTGACTGGAATGATCGGAAATGAGCGGGTCGTTCCAGGCCCCAGGTTGAGGACTTAGTTGCTAAGCTGAGGAGGCCCGTCCCATCAGTGTTCGCGACAAGATACGTGACATTGAACTGTGCGGCAGTAGGGTGGACAAGTTTATCATCCATGTGATACTTCGGGATGTCCTATGCACAGGCCCCAAAGGCCGGCTGAGTGGCCGTGACCTCTTACCACAGCTCAGGAAGGAGCCCGAAGAGCAGCGGCGCTTTGAGGCTGGTGGGCAAACGCGCGCGTTCCTCCAGAGCAAGGCCAAGCCTGGGGCCCCGACGCCTCAGGTGTTCCACTCTGGTCCTCAAGGTGTCTGGCTCACGATCAAGGCAGCGGCAGGGAAGCGGCACACGGGGGAGGGGAGGTCGACGTCAATGGGAAGATACAGTGGTCGAAGACGAGAACGCCATAGGCCATATACATAACAGTTTGGCGCCTCGCGCGGATTTATTGGATCCGTGCTGGGCCCCTCCTGGCGGCGCCTCCGGCGCCGCCCCTGGCGCGCTCCGCGCGGGAGGGTCGTCCAGCGCGGATCCAAACAATGCGCTTGGAGCGCCCAACTAATGTTTATGGTGTGCTTTTGTTTTTCTTTCCATCTTATAGCCAGAGGGAAGGCGCAAGGTGCAGTGGGACGAGAAGGCCATGCAGAGCGGCTTCCAGACCGGCGGACGATGGACGCGGAGTTCAGGGCCTTCTGGTCTGGGTGAGCTCCTTTCCGGACGGCTCCTGGGAGTATAGCTGCTTGTAAAGAGGGGATTTCGGCCGCACAGTGGGTTTGCAGAGAGTTACGTCGTTCTGCGGGCGGGGATTTCGCTCAATTTTGACAAGAAGTGCTTGCATGGTCGCGTCTGCATGGTAACTTTTATTCTGCTCATGTCATAGTGCCTACGGGCCATAGTGGCTGCGCTTTAATGTATTCCTAGACTTTGGATGTGGGCGCTTAGGAAAATATGCTCCGATAGCTACTGGATGTGAGCAGTTGTTTCGAATTCGATGTACATTCGATTTACATCCCAGTAGATATGTTGGACCATCCTGAAGAAGGTGGGCGGGCGACCTGGGTGTACAAAGAAACGTCCAGGGTTCTTCAGCGAGCTCGTGATTCCTGCAGGTCACCTCCGTCGAACTTCTGTTGGGGTGGCTGCGAACATGCAGTTTCCGGAATATTGGGGCCAAGTGTCCAGAGGTGCTGTGCTCAAGCCGCGGCGGATCCCCGCCCTTGCGAAGATCACCGCGCTTGCTTGGACCCTTGGATTGAGGATTTGGGGCCCCGGGCGCTCAGTACCTTCGGGCGTCGCGGGGCCCCCGATGACGCGGCCGTGGCGAACGACCACGTCCGGGCCCACAAACAGGTAAAGGGAGGACCCGCAAATCACACATAGATGTCATTGGTGTCGGGCCTCCGTTTTCGGGGGCGTCGTGGGTATCGAGACGTGGTGAGAGCATCCTCAACCGTTCTGATCACAGCCTGGTATGGGCGAGGCTCGATATCGACTCGATACCCTCCTGGTGGGCAATTGCCCCGTGCACGTGCTTAGATCGCTGCGGAGATGGGCGCCTCAGGACGATCGGCAACTGGAGGACTACAGGCAGGCAGTTGTGAACCATGTTGGATAAGAGTTGCCGATCCTTCAGAGAGGCATCAGGCCAGCCGGACTTGGGGTTAAAAGCATGACGCGGTATGGCAGCGCGCCAGGCGTGCAGCACACATATCATCAAAAACCCCGTCAGAGTTGCGGGGGGAGTTTCGGAGGTGGATAGACATCCTACCCTGACACGTCGATTAAGGAATTGGCCGTTCTCGGTTCGCGAGAGGGCGTCGTGGCCGTTATTTTTGCGGGTCCAAGTCCGTCGGTTTTGGTCCCAGGCTGTTTTCACTAAGGGGAGGTTTACCAAAGGGAGGTTCGTCCACCGCCGACATCAAGAACCCCGTCAGGGTTGCGGGGGGAGTTGTGATTTCTGCAACACGGGACACCTGGCGAGAACGGGTCTGGGAGCTGCGGAGGGTAGATCGCAAGGCGACGCGGCAACGCATTGATCGTAGGCTTCGAGCCACGTTTTGTGATCGCCGCTCTTCCAAGACGCCAGTGTTGCTCGCCATCGTCGGGGTTGCCGACGGCGGACCGGGCAGTCTGGAGTCTGGAAGAAGGGTCTTGCGTGACATTCGCCGCGAAAGATTCGGGAACCCGAGCGACAATGCTACGGCGCAGAGGGCTAGAATGAGCACGATGTCGCAGGTCTGCCATAATAACCGTTCGGACGGATGCCCCCAGGAAGGGGTCCAGCCGGCAGATACCTTGAGCGCCAGGAGGAAGTTGAAGTATGGCGCAGCGCCAGGCTGCGACGGGGCGCCGCCTGAAATGTGTAAGGCTTTACGTTGTTGTACGCGCGCCGCTACTGGCATCGATTCCCAGGGCGTTACAGAAACTTTTTTTCCGTAGAGCCGTCCAGCCTCAAGTTGATAGAGTGCACGGAGATAAAATACCGAGACGGCGTTCGATACAGTGGAGCACGGCAGCATATTCCAAGCTATTTCCGGGCGCGGACTCCCCCGTGACTTAGCCGAAGCTCTCATGCGGGAGGTCTCTGGCATGAGCTGCTCGATGGAGTTGCCGGTTACTCTCTCCTGCCAGGAGTTCGATGTGAAACGAGTGCCATAACACGGAGGAGGAACCCTCTCAGTTTTCAGCACGATGATCAGACGCTCTCGGACGGGCAGGCCCTGTGCACGGCAGGAAGCAGTGGAATTCGCATTGAGGACCTCCGCATTGCATCTTTGATTCCGGCAGGCGCAGTGTCTTTGTTATTTGAATCAGCAAACGGGGTTGCATTTATGGTGTGGGAACTAACCAGCGTATTGGTTGCATTCGGTGGTCGATGGATGACCTCGTCTCCCATGCGCGTGGCGCGCGATGCCCTTCGCAACGCATAGATTGCCAGAACGGTGGCTAGATCAGCGTTTTTTCAGCAGCGCGCGGTCGCGGACATGCCGGATTTTTTTTTGGAGCGGCGATCACTGACGACGGCGATGTTGCAGCTAACTTGCAACACCGATCTGACAAAGCTGGGGCTACGTTTTGGTAGGTACTGCTGCAACGCAGCGGCCTGCCGATGCAGCCGGAATCGGTATCCCGGGCCATCGGCGAGTGCAGCCCACGGTTTTTCTATTTGACATTCGGCATAAAATGTGTTGTTGCGAGTTCGCCGGCGGGTGCTGTCGCTCCAACGTAAGATGTTGGGGTTCAGACGTAAGTTGGTGGAAGGGCCGACGATGTTCATGGCCAGGGCGACTTGCGTATTTGGAGGGATGGTTCAGGATTGCGAGGACTTGGCCGCTACATTTTCTCATTCTCCGCGAGGTCTTCAAAATGACATGGAGGGAAACATAGGTCATACGACTCCATTGCGCCGTCGGCTGCTTATCCGCGACGCGACAGATACCGGGCCGCCCATGGTGGGAGACGGCCAAACAGATGTACAGCAAGAGTCGGAGG